ATCATCTTCATCTCAGTTGGTCACGACACTGTCATCAGCTTCATCTCAGTTGGTCACGACGTTGTCATCACCACCACCATCAACGTCACTTTCAACAACAACACCATCATCTTCATTTGAGTTAGTCCCGACTACAACCCGGTCATATTTGTTAATGCCAGCCATACCTAGTGTGTCACCAACACCTTTGCTCAACTCGCCCTCACCCATACAGTCGTCTTCAGGGAGTGCATTACCGAGCACGTATATTCCTAATGCGGCCTCTTCTTATAACGCCGAGACCCCCACATCCCAAGGGAACATAATTGACAATAAAACAGGACAGAGTTCTAGGAAATTGCGGTTTCTCTTTACCTCTGTTTTGTCTGGGAAACAAAAGACACCTGATCTCTTTTCAAACAACCAGCTCAACTCAATGCTCCTGTCAACAAGTATTAATGGACCGACTATAAGTTCTGGTTCCGTTGTTAGAGGAACAGTATGGACATTAATGAAACCTCTGAGTTCTCAAACGGAAACCTCAACTGCTATGTCAACAGATACACCCTTTCATAATAATAAACTACATCAAACATCTATTGTCTCAAGTATTGATGGTGTTTCTTACCAGTACCATGCCAAAAGTCACGAAGAAATGTCAAGCATCTCAACGTCTGCAGAAAGTCAATTGGTTAAATTCACCGTGGATTATTCTAGAAAATTGAACTTTACAAAATCAGCTGAGATTCGTCCAACATTGATCAAGGCCTTGCCGACCGCAGTATTTACATCAAAGGGGATTAATACTAAGTTTAGAGTTAATCCTTCCTTGGTGATAGAAGGCTCTAGAACATCCGAGACAGGAACACATGGTTTAAACACGAAGGAAGTTTCGTCATCTGAGGAAGCAACGAGCATGCGCGTAACTTCATCCGCAAGGGAAACTGGAGTGACCGAGAATAGCAGGATTTTATCATCATATTCATCACGCGATTTACTGAGTTCAATAAAAACAGAAACGTTACTGCACTTGCGAACGAAAGGAACTATCGAATCGACCCCCATTTCTGATTTTTCTCCGTACTCTGTTTCAAGGCCAAAATCTAGTTCTCTTGACTTTCATAAGCGCTCATCAACTCAAAAAGAAGTGCAAATTCTTTCTACAAAGGAAACACTTTCATTGACACGAACACCAGCAGCACTTAAGCTTTCGACGTCTACTTCTGATGAATTCCCGGATGTTACCAAATCGGTGTCAAAGGAAATGAGAAGTGAACCACCTGTCTACCCACAAGACAGCATGACGACGACAGATGTAGAGGTAAGTGAGGTATAATGCACGTGTTTAGACGACAGGAGTAATTTGGAAACTTCAGCAAAACCTTTCATTGTTAGACAGCTTACAAGATTGTTGTGGTTTTAGAGTGATTAGAACATTACAAGCTGCTTACTTTGATGTGATTCTTTCATTAAGAATGTCAATTTGTCACGAACTTTGATAGTGACAAACTATTGACAATTATTATTTCATGAAGTTTTTTCTGAAAAGAATAAATCGAAAGAAGGTATTGATTTCTAGACGAAATTTTGAAATGAGTCGAGTGGGACATGTTACGTGACATAAATGGTTTCCTGCTCCGAACCAATCATTTACAAGGAAACGTCACGCAAGGGTATCAGAGATAATAGATTCGAAGGCTTCTATCATGTTTGAAATTTGCTGTAATTATTAGGTTATTTAAACTACGTTTCTTCCATATTATTCTTAGAAATATTTTATTAGAAACTTAATAACTTGTTTATAATTGCTACGTGTATCATCATTTTGGCGCTACGTTTTGAAAAGTTCAATGAAACTCGTCCGTTCTTTCTAATTGTCAGTGCCGTTAGCTATAACAAACTCTGGCTTTCGTAGTTTTGCGGGTAGTAGCCATATTGTTATTAAAATCAAATTGCTTAATTCCAAAAACTACAATAATTTGATTAGAAGTATCTAAATTAGAAGTATCTTTTATCCCTTTGTTTCGCTTTTCCGTCACATTTTTCTGTTTCTTTTTACTTTTTCTTTCTTTTTTTTTTCTTTTTCTTTTTTTTTTTTTTTTTTTTCTAGGCCCCTTTCCCCCCATTTTTATGAAGACATATTTGTCCTTCTTGAAAGGATAAAAAAGTTCTTAGTATAATCCTAAAGGGCTTATGTACTTTTTATTTCGATAAAAGGACCTCGATTGAATTTCAAAAAATTAACACCAATTTTGGTCTGTGTTCTCAATATTCCATTGAATTATTCATGTCGTATTTTCTTTTAAATACTTTGTTATTAAATATACTTCCTATATCTAGTCACAAATAATTCATTCTAGACAACCACGAAATTAAAAATCTTCAAAAAACTTCATTTTATATGAGTTGTATTCGTTTTCCAAGTCAATCTGGTTACACTGATCAGTAGAACAAAAGATATGTAGATGGTGACTTTCTAGACCGCACGGGCTGATTGGTATTATTAGAAAATGAAAGGCGGAAGATTGAAGTCACAATACGATGGAATTGGTAAACTCTTTCATTTTCTTCCTCTTGGCTAAAATTCAAGTTGACGGGTTGATATTTCACTTTATTAAGTCAAATCGACCAGGCAAACACTCAACTGTCAACTAGATTTGGATTTGCGATTCTCATTGGTCGGATTCATTTAAGAAAGCCAACCTAGTGTAAGTATGATGTGACGAATGATCAGATGAATATTTCCCTAGTTTGGAGCTGAAGTCCGCGCTGAAAGAAATCGCAGTCGTATAGCATTGATTACCGCAAAGATTCTTTTCAAATCATACTAGAATGGAGATTTTATATCGCAATATAGGGCCAGTTTACCAGAACAACGTTGCCTGTAAATCTTAACAACGCATTCCTCTTCTCTAGAGCACAGGTATTTATTGTTGGGACACGTGTGCCATTTTTTCCTGTTTCTTCTTCAATATTTGATTCATTTTTTCGCGGTATCAAAAAAGTCAAACTTGTGCAATGCCTCAAAATCATTTCTTTTTTACCTAATATTCTACCTTTTTTTTTTCCATTCTCGTATACCTGTATTTTTATGATTTTTTTTTTATTACGAATTTTGGCTATAATATCTTCAACCAATTTAATGCTTTTCTATATTGATTTTCTGACCACTGGAAGCTGGTCGATACAACAACAAAAACATTAATTTTCTCATTATATTTTCTAGTGCTTTCGATGTCACAGACGAAATTTCAATTTCACTATGCTTGTTTCAGTAATTCCAACTAAATATTTTTATTTTTTCATAAATACATACAGTATATTATTTTTTCATAGTTCAATTTCTATAATTCTACTTGGCTTTTAAGATAAAAAATAGACAGACTTTCAAATATAATTGATTGATTATCTACCCAGTTTTGGGCTAAATCTTGAAGTCTAATTTGTCATCTGCAAATCAGATAACTTGTAACTTTTAGTATTCTGTATAGCAGACGACAGGTTGAGAGTTAGAAAGCGTCTAAGTGCATGTTCCCAGCTTTAATTGTTTTCGTTTTAGAATAGCATGCAATTAATAGCCAGTGGCTAATAAACCTATATGGCCCTCGTTCCATGATAGAATTGGAATTTAGAAGTTGATTTTTTGCAGAAGGGGGAGAACTAGAGAACTTGGAGGAAAAACACTTGAAGCAAAGGAGAGAACCAACTAGAGACGCCACTCAAATATGACATGAATTTAACCCATTGTCGCTACGCCATCCGTGCTTCAATACGCGATATTCGATTATTGAGCACTTTTAATTTTTGTGCACTGAATGATCGAGTGCAGCAGACGATATTATATGAAGATTGAAAAGTATGCTTCGTACAAATATCCTTAGATTCTAGGAAAATTTCGTTACGGTCGGTTTTTGGCATTGTGTTCAGCTCTGTTGCATGTATAGAATCAGTAACCAATGAGCTTTAGAATATATAGGAGAAATTATGCTTAACGCCAGTATTTACAATATATTAGTTAAAACAGATTTTAATCTTTGGTTTGGACTAATTTTATATCACAACGACTCGAGCTGCATTAAATCTGCATATTCGTAAGACAACTTATTTCTTGCGTTTTCTTTTCTTTTCTTTTCTTTTCTTTTTTCCATTTTTCTTTAAGTGCCTCAAGGATGTAATATTTTCGCGCGCTTTTGGTCCATAGAAAACATCACGCGCTGAGCACTTGGTCGAGGCAAAGTTAACTTTAGAAAATTATTTTTGGACTCAAACATGTGCCGGTCCAATAAGCGGTGTACAAAATCAAAAACACTACTAATCCAGTTGAATAACATTGTATCAGTTTTGGTAAACAATATGATAAGAATAGCCTCGTCTTTTTATTAAAACAGTTGTAGATAATGACAGCTGTGTGTTGTATGATATCGATCTGGCCCTTGAGATTGGTTGGCAGATTTAACGACTTGCACGACACAAATTACTGTAGCCTGGTATTCATTACGAGATCACACTGACGCAATTAGAGCAACACGTGAGTTGAATATGATAAACAAGTTAAGACTAATCCGAATAGTTATTTGATTTCTCTTAAAAGGATTTAGGATTCGAGGCCAACATGAAAATACGAAACAAATACACTCTTTCTCGATAGAATTTGTGACATTTCTTTTGTAGTTTCTTGTTAGCCTTGCATCATCCATGACAATTTTGAGAAGGCAGGCGTACATCTAGAGTGCAAATACTCGTATTCCAAAAACAGTACTAAGTATTTAGTACTGACTTGTACTAAATGGTACTGATAAAACAATTGAAAACGATAGACATTGCACTGTTTTATGCTATTGGTGGTAATTAAACTTTGTACTCTTCCAATCACGGATAAGGTGTTTGTACTATTTATACCATTAGTTTCAATTAATACACTGTATTTACTGCAATCTTGTCATAATTGGTTGCTCACCACCGACAAACCGTGACATTTTCTCAGCTTCGTCAAGTATTATTTTATACCTTCTCATTTTATATCTGATCCACAGCTAGATTTTAATGTTGTCCTCTCTTTACTCACAGGTATCCAAAACTCTTTCCCCACGAGACCCAAACAAGCTAAACCCCTCGATGGCATTCTACTCCATCTCCCCTACCCCAACAATCTACACCTTCCCATCTTCATCCTCCATCACTGATGGCAATATCTCCACGGCAACCACGTCAGACGACTCAAACACTGGCATGAAGAACGATGATTCCCCAAACAACAAGATCCTTCTCTTTGTCATAGTCGCCACAATCCCTACGCTTTTGCTCTTGATATTGATAGCGATTGTCTTATTTCGACGAGTCAAAGAACGTGAAGCCGAGCCATTTTATAAGATACAAGTTGAATACACAGACAAACAGCGACGACCACGGAGTGCAAACAGTAGACTCGACCTGACCATCAAAGGTATGCATATCGATCTGGAGTTCCCGAGTCCAGGCGAGAAACGTAAAAGCGCAAGATTATCAGCACCTCCAAATGTGTCGGACGCCCAAATGCGCGAGCTTCAAAAATTATCCCAAGAATGTAAGGACAATTTAGAATGGATAAATGAGGTACTGGAGCGTGAACTTGAATCACCTGAGTTTTTTGGTGGTTCTAGTTCGTCTGAGAATGATGATTCTATGGATGCTGCGTGTACTAATCAACGATATAGTGTTTATTCGGCTTGCTCCGAAAAGGAGAAGGAAAATTATGAAGTGAGTGAAAAAATAATCAAGCGTGATTCTCCTAAGCACACGAAGTACGACGAGAAAGAGGAAAAGGAATTGAAATCGGATCCAGAAAATGATGCTGATAATAACAGTGATTCAGTGAATTTGAAAGATGATTCTGATGAATTTAAGATCAAATTAGACCAAAGGACTTCTCCAAAAGTTCCATCGAAGCCACAGAAACCAGAAATCCCGCCTAAACCTAAAATTAAGTTGACCGCGACGGATCGAATTGGAACGTTAGTGAATCCGTTATCTTCGACTATCTTTATAGAATGTACAGCACGTGAGGATGAAAGCAAAAATAAAATAGATTCAGTGCTATCGAAAAAGAACGCACCAAAGGAGAGAACGTTGTTGAAGAAGCCTCCTATTCCCGAGAGAAAAGGAAAAGTGGCGCGCAAACCAGAGAAGAATACAGTCACTAAGCAAGAAGTTTGTTTAACTGTTGAGAATGAAGCCAAGAAGGAATCACCCTGTTCATGTAACAGAATGAGTAAGCCACCAATCCCAAGAAAACCTGAAGGGTTGGTTATAAACAGCTTTAGAACAAAACCGAGGGATAACGCAAATGTTAAAGCGACTTCTACACTTTATCGAAGCGGTAGAAAAATTGAAGTCTGTTGCACACCGCGTAAAGCTTGTGAAGCTGTGTAAAGCCCATACGCAGAAGATGTTACCCAAAGTCGCGCGTCGATGCAAGCGCATTCTTCCATGCGCGCGTGCCGTCCTCTTCAAGACTAGCGGTTCTTAGAGCGTGTTTCATATGAGTAGGAAATGATACGGCAAACTAGTAGTCGACCTGTAGCCGTACGGTATTATGACGTAGCCGTAATAAACTCAGTACGCGTTGTGATTGGAAAATTTACATGGACAACCATTTCAAATAATGTTATGGTATGTCGTACCGCGTATCCAATTTAGGTCCATACTGTACGTTTCCTACTCATATAATGGATCAATCATCTTTTGTAACTCTTCCAATTCCTATATCTAAGACCAGATGTCAGACAGTGCGCACAATATACCTTCGCCGTTCTCTTGAGACTGCTCCATCTGCCGGTCTGTCTAATGCTAAACGGGAAAGGGACCTTTGACTCTACATCTATTATCTGATTACAGCTGTTATTAGTCAATGCAAGTTTAAGCTAGACGGTTAATTTCCTTGAATTCTATAGCCTTATGGAATCAGGGCGACCGGCCAAGTACTCCTGTCTCAATAGAAATGGTTGCTTTTAGATTACCAGCATTAATTATTCTTTCCAATGTATTTTTATTGGCTGCCGTCTGCACTGATAGATTCGCTCTGAAAAACTAATTTTTTAGCCATAGGAGATTTACAACACTGCTTGCATTAATGGCTAGCAAATATTCGTATCGGAGAACGGGCCCTTGAATAATGTTATCCGTTGCGTGCGGATCCCAATTGTTCTGATTGGATTACCAGTATTTTTGCACAACAAATGCTATGTCGATTTAATCAAACGGTATTCTCAAAGCAGCTATAAGAAAAATTGTTATCCGCTGACCAACCATGTGACTTGATTGCGGATTCATAATTTATAAAAATGAATTCCTATTTAAAAAAAGACAAGATTTAGAAAGCCGGGCCTGGCTAGCCTCCTGAGCAGCCTCTGTGAGGCTCGTGAATTATGGGAACCGGAAGCGCCTCACAGCGGCTGCGCAGAAGGCTAGGCCTGGCAGGTTGAAGACCAATCTTTTTTGCTCCAACCCAGGCCTTCCCGTCTTCCTTGCGTCGCTGCGCAAAGAAAAATGGATTTTTAAGATTGTAATATTTTGGTTATTTAAAAGAAAGCTGCTCATTTTCTCTAGAGTGAAGTCATTAAACCCGTGAAATAGATATTAGACTAATACACTTTAGTAGACCCTAATTCCATTGTTTTCTTTTGTTTCTTTTTGACTATTACACGTTGACTAGTATTTTTTATTTGACGCGTTAAATGCCTTCACTCTATTTCTGTTTGATCACAAAGACAAATGTTTAAAGCGACATGATTGTAGACGATATATTGATAATGATAATAATAATAATGATAATAATAATAATATATATTTGATCATAAATGAATAAATGTATTTTGAAGCGTTGGTCTATGCATTTTGCTTAAGAAACAATTTAGTAATATATCCGCACTGATTACTACTCATTATCACGTCAAATCCTCTTGGGCTGTTGCGCTTTTGGGCTGTTGCGCTGTTGGGATATTGGGCTGTTGGGCTGTTGGGCTGTTGCGCTTTTGGGCTATTGGGGCTTTTGGAAATGTTTTTTAAAAAATGTATTT